GGGGGGGGGGGGGAGGGTGGGAAGGTCATAAAAATGAATAGGAAGAGCTGCATAAGGAGCGTCGTGGTGAAGAGTGACTTCATGATCGTCATGGTTAAATGTGTTGATTCATTATTCCTATCATTGCTCCGTTCTCATCATTTGAACTACAGTAATCTGAACTTGCTTTGTAAGACAGGAGCCCTGTTCCGGTTTTCGGTTTTCGGCTTATCGACTTTGGTATTTACGGGCTTATTTCGGCACTGTTCAGAACTGACAGCGTGTGGACGGAGCTGGGAAGGGTGCAGATGGGGAAACGGTTCGATTCCGCTGTCAAAACCAGGACTTAACTATCTGAGTGATTACCAGTAGCCTTATACAATGGAATCTAACACCTTGGTAAGATGTATTTATATGAAGTGCTTAGATAATTGCCGAGCTGTGAGTGTGGTGGCGGCGTAAGCATGAGGATCGATGTGCCCGCCCTAAGAGCCGCAGACGCGGCGTCGTAGTCGACATCATGTATTAGGACCATCAACGTCGTCGTCGCCGTTCTCGTCGTCGTCATCGCTTCTTCTCATCATCAGAAGCAGACATCGTAGTCGTCGTCGTTAACAATGTCGCTATCACGTTCACAATCTTATGGAACCACCGTTGACGAGGCCGGTGAGTGCTTCTCTGGCGCAGGGCCAAATGGAATGGTACCGTAAGACGGTGTCTTCTACATATGAATACATTAGAACAATACTTTTAAAATCAATTGGGCCGGAATAGCCTTGTGTAGCAGCGGTTCCTCCACCAACAGCAAATGTTTCTGGTCAAAACTTTCCACCAGATCGCCTCCTTTCTCAAATCGTCTTTCAAAGGCAAGCAAAATCCAATATCTTCAGTTCTTCTTTGGTTCTCTCTGCCTTTGAAATTCTGTTCTCGCGTCTTTTTCGCTTGACCATTTCCGTCCGGCCAAGTTTCCCAAGTTCCTCTGGTAACAACAAGACGACATGTTGATGTTTTTCAGTTGGCCTTATAGAATTACAAAGTAAACAAGTTCCAGTTATGGAGTTTCAAGAGGGTCTCATTTTCCCATTGCTGCCCCATATGTCGCTATTATTAAACCTGTTGACGTGGAAAAACTTATGACGTCATTTGTCACCTCGTAAGCCTAAACGGCCCTCATAGGACATATTCACGCCAAGTACATCTTGGCCATTGAATAAGGGAGTGAGGGCATATGCCCACATGCCTGGCATTCCATGCTCTCTGTTAATGTATGGGTACGCGTATTTTCAAGGGGATTCCAATTGCCACAGGGCATTTTCAAGATCGATTTTCATTTTATCTAGAGTAAACACACTATAAGCAAGCAGTTTCGTTTCGGAGATGCTGCTGCGATTCATCGCTTCCTACTCATTCTCCCTCAGCTCTGACCATGAAGCCCTGAAGATGAGTCCGGTTTGATATCCTTGGGGCTAGAGCGAGGAAGAGGGCGAAGAGGAGTGGAGCCTTTCGGTGAAGTGGAAAACAAAGCGTTATCCCTTATAATGGCAGTGAATAACGCAAAACACCTAATTTGACGATATCCGAGAAATCTTTTAAGAAGTAGTTAAAGCGGAACAACGGTGAATGGTAATAATAATAGTAATTATGCAGTAAAATGACGTGTTCTGGCCTGTGAATACAAAATCAATGCTGCTAGCCGGGGGGAAACGGTAACACGATTTCATAACCCCGGGTTTTTATTAGGTCTAATCTTAGGCCAAATAATGACGGTACCGAATCTGATAAGTAATTCTGGCAGTTTGTGGCAGTAATTGAATTCTGTTCCCATGAAATTCCTTCCCGTGATCTGAAAAGTAATCGGCTAATTAATAATAAGTACCCTTTCGACTTCATGGTTCAGAAAAAAAGCGATCCAGCTGAAACGACCGTCGTTAAGTTGTTGTTAATCCAGAGACCTTCTTCAGTTCACGTGGAGACCACCTGGGTGGACCCCCCAGGCCCCCATTCTGTACAATTCGGATTTTGGAAAACCGCCATTTTTGAACTGGACTGATACAAGGTCTCCTGAAATCTACTTTACGCATACTTTACAAAGTTGTTAGGTAGAATATTTACTTTTAGCTACTACTTTGAACCTTCTCGTCGTCGTTGTAAGCTTTGCTATCGGGATACTTCCACTATTCTATCAAACTTGTCATTCCATCAGGGTCTTCCGTTGGGAGCGTTCAGAAATTTCTCGAAACTCATTTTTCTTGGACGAAAGCGTTTATGTAAGCTTTGAGTAATGTCTTTCCCCGACTAAACTGGTCTACAATAGGTATTTGCCCCCAAAAGGGTTTATACTTGGATAATGAGACCAGAAGACCATACCTCCCATAGCGAAAAAGGAACCGATTGGTTGTCGAATGAGAACTTTTTCAAGGCTTATCCACTTTATGAAGTTTCCAGCCCCCAACCCTATTATCTTTCCATTTGAGGATTCTCTAACATTCGTTTTGGTTCCGATTATTTCAATTTCCCTGCGCAATAGGGACAGCGGTCATTGACCAAAGCTGTGCAAGCTGTAAAAGGCTATAAATGGGAAATTTATTCATACAGCGAGAGCTACGGGCCCAAAAACTGATGGAACCGATGGAAACAATTGGATTTCGCAAACGAAGGGAAGGAACGAAGCCACCAAGTTTTTCTAAGCACTGCCAAGAAGTCCATCGTTCAATGCGGTCAAAACCGAAACCATGATGAATTTTGCCAAAGTAATAGTACTGCTTTATGGGCACAGATTAGTAAGCATCAATCAATATGGATCAGGGTGGACCTCAGTGAGAATAGCTCTCATCAAGGGCCTGGGTAGAGCCGTATTCGGTCGTACGACGTAGGAAGGGGGTCTATAGTGTCTAATATGACACTATCCTGGCCCCCTGATTTTCTTCAACAAAAGAATTTATGATAAGTGGTATGTTTCATGTATAGAGTTTACTTCCTTTGTGTCGATGGGTAAGTGTTGGAATGAAGGGGGAGGAGAGGGGGAGGGAGGATCAGCTCTTATCATGGGCCTGGGGTAGTGTACTGTTTGTCCACTGTGGGAACAGATTTGTTTGGCTTACAGTCAAGGTCTGAAGATTAATGGAATCGGGAGAAAGGTCCTATTCCACAATGGATGTTCATTGTACTCGTGGGTGACCCTTGCAAGGGTAGTGAAAAGGTCAAAAAGAATTGGTAGAACCATGGAAGAGCATGGAATTCTCGGTTTCAGTCCTCTCGATCCTTGTCTGACTAGAGTAGGGTAGGGAGAAGTTCCCAAACAAGATCAAAGTAGTTTCTACGAACGGTAGTTGCTATACCCTTTGGAAGTCGGGGATTGTGGATAGACATTTTCAGAGATGTTGTACCCCTCCCAAGAAAGCCCTAAATCTAACTTAGAGATTTCCTATCCAGCGGAAACCATCCGAAACTCAGGCTGAAATGAAATAAGGAGGGTTCTTGATGTCCTTAAAGTGTAAGTCCCTTCTTGTGGTTCAACTTTTCCCCTCTCTGTAACCCGATATGAAGTACAAGGCAAAGATTATGTTGCCCACATGAGAATTCCCACCAATTGTTTTCATTTCCACCCACATTGGAAAGGGAAAATTGTACTCGATGCCCCACCTTCTTCCACCCATCTAATGAGCTCTCGATGCTGCGTTTGTGTGAATGAAACGTGCAAGCGAATCCGATCAGAGCTGCCTGCTGTCCTTTCATTAGTGGAGACTAATTAACTACAACCACAATAACATGCGTAGAATCTCTAATGTAATGGAAAACAAGTAATTCGATAGTATCCGCCCTACATGGCCTAAAACGGATGGGCCTAAAATCTCAGCAGCGACGGCACGCACGACGAGTTCGATCCGTCCGACGATTGCGCACAGTGCGCGAACCATGTCACGCGCGTGACGGTCGCGCAGCGGCCTTACAAACCTATGCTGCCCCGTTCCCCTCGGTTTCATGTATCGACGATTAAAAACTGATGAAAATGATTCATTAGGTAAGTTAGACTGTCCTTTATACATTCTATTACTTCTAATTTAGCTGTAGTAATCAACAATTCGATGTTCATGCGGTAATCGTTGTTTTGGACTGAAGCTGAAAGCGGAAAAGGCGCGTCAATGCAATTAATCATGCGACAATCATGAAGTAGTCATGAAGTAGTTAGGGCGGCGAAAATGGCCATGAACGTGGTCGACTAATATGGAGCTATGGCTATGACAACATATCAACAAGTTTATGACTGTACTTTCAGATCTCGGACCACCAAAATGGCGTTTGGCACGGCGCCATTTTGTCGCCGCCCTGGCGCTACTTGGTTTCGCCAACATCTATGCGATGCGTGCGAATCTGAGTGTGGCGATCGTTGAAATGACTACCGGTACTGATAAGGAAGTGAATGGCACAAAAATACATGTGAGTTACTGAAGTAGAACCGAATTCTGGAAAAGAGTAGTAGAAAGTAAAGTTAAAGTGTAAATGGTTGTTAGAGCGAGACTAGAGCTACCTATAACTGGACCGTAATGGGCTGTGCACTAGGTACGGCCACTGAATGCTGGCAGTTATCCAGTCAGGGCTGAAGCCTTTTTGCCTTGACACCTGTGCTCTGAATAGAAATCCTTAGTTTCATCGAGGAGCTGCAGNTCATTGGGAAGGAATTGAACCCATGGTTCGGTTTGCTGTCAAGTTGGCTTCTTACGTGGTTATGATCATCGTTAACCTGGTTATTGATTCCTGTATCAGGTGCACATTCACTCTAAAACGAATGAGCCAATCATTGAACAGTTTATTGAATTATTCAAAACATGCTTCTATATTTATATAAATTTGTGTTTATATGTGTTTATTTTTCCTCAAATATCCTCTACTTTCTATTGCGCTCGAGGCGCTTGATATTTGTACTAAACCTTGGGCTGAATGTTGAAATCGGAACGATATTCTTGTACACAGGCAGTCAGAAGCGGCTTCGTAGGTCCCATTCGCCTTGTATCGTTTTTCTCCCAAGCCAAGAAGGCTTTCATCGTTCATGTGAACCGTTGACGGTTTGTAGGATTAAAACACGATCAGTATCAGTAGCAATATTTACTACCTAGAAGTACTAATTAGCTTCTGTAATTCGTTGTACAGGCCAAGTAAGTAGTCAAATATCGCTGTGCTTCTGAAGAAAGTTTAGTGCGCGTCACTTTTCTTTTCGGTGTTCAACCTTTGTCTGTTCAAGCTCCTAAGTACTAAATGTGAACTGCTCAGTAAGAAAAACCAAGCGAGGAAGACTTTCTTTCATTTCAACTTCACCTCTTCAAGGCTTGATGTGTGTATGTAGTGGCACATGGCGCATTGTTAAACGCGCATGGTCCTGGGATCAAATCCCGGATCGATAACCGCTCAGATCAACCAAGTCTTTCATCCATATGGAATTTGTTAATTGTAATGGCAGCAGAGTCGTCTGGAGGCCAGAAGCACTGACTTCTACATGTGCTAGACATCGCTTGCCATCGAATGGGCCGTATCGTATTCAAAACGCCAGTGCAATTCTGAAGGAAAGTCGGATGCCAGGCGCATTCCAGAATGGGATTGATCAATGCTGGAAAATTGATCGTTTTGCCCTTCATTCACCTCTTTAGAGGCTCGTTGTTTTTCCCATCAATGTCCAGGCTCTCAATCATTAAGCTACGCGCCCAGACCAACAGCCATTACCAGTAAAAAAAAGCGATTGAATTACTTGTAGCCGCGAATGAATATGCATGCATGCAGGCAGCTGCATCGTCCAATCTGCAGCGGCCGGCGCCGTCGCCGTGCTTTCGCAAAATTCTGCAGAAAAGTCGATGTGATTAAGCGAGCCTTATTGAGAGCCGCTTGAAAAGGACTTAAAATGATGTCATGTCGATGAAAAATGGAGCGCTCTCGTTGCTCCCCGGCTTTGATGAGGGTGGGGGTAGATTAAAAATCGGGGGGCTTGAAAGCTTCCTGATAGGGCTCTCTCAGGACCCAATTTGAAGTCGAATATTTATTTATTTATTTGTTTATTTAATGGGCATACAAAGATGCGCTTCAGTAACAAACAAAAAAACGAAACCGGTTGCAAACCTAAACAGTAAAAAGACAAAAAATGACTTTTTAGGCTTGACATCTCCAGAAGGTCTACCTTAGGTCTACCTTTCTCCTGCCTAGGCCTACCTTCCTCAATTTCCTTTTGAAAGCATTGAAATATGTTGAAAAGTCAAAACGATTCCGTATAACCAAAATTCGATTAATTTTGTACCTTCGGCTTTACCTCATGTTTATCCAGTTGGGGCAATTGGGTGTTTACAAAAAATTTCATTCAGATTGTTTACAGTCT